TACATCTAGGATTTAAAGTAGATAATAATTTAAAATAAATCCTATAAGACAGACATATAAGTTTAGAACCAGACGCATAATTATAACCATGCGTTTTCACGTTTAAAGTCAAGGTGTATATATATATATATATATATAATATTTAGAAACAGCAGTTGGGGTGTGCGAACAGGGGACGAACAGGGGTACTTTGGTAGTTATGAGTTTATTAGGGATAAATTGTTAATTAAGTCACCGATCTCTTTTAAGAAAACACGCGTACTGCAATTTTACTGCGTAAAATACTAAGTTCTGTTCTCTCCCACCTACCTTCCATGACTCCTCCTGATTTTCTCCAATTTCTTCCCGTTGTACAGTGCAGTCTAGAAATTTCTATTGCCTTTGATTTTTATTCGATTTTGCACAAATTTTTCTAGCAGAGCTTCAAATGACTGGATTCTCTGAGATGTCTCGAAACCGATTCTGCTGAAGAAGTTACTATGGAGATTCTAAGCCTTTTCTAGGTTAATTTGATTATTTTATCCTCGTGTCTTTTAGGGCGTGTACTATTGTTTATAAAGGCAAACCACGATGTACTCACTTTATGTATATCAGATTTCAAGGACTAATTCTTGATTTTATGTTCTCTTTTCCAATTGTCTAAAATTTCTTCTGCCGTTCACTCCAAAGTGTCGTCTCTTTGCTTTGATGAATTTAATTTGCCATAAACGGACCCAAGCTGCTTACTTGCTATTATATCGCTCTGTTTCTACTTTATTTTGTGAATTGATCATTTGTCCTGTTTGTTCTGGTTATACTTTGGTTTGGTTGCTTTTCCGTGTTGTTTCTACTGCTCTGCTCATTCTGCTTAGCTCCATTTGAATTTTATTTTACATCTTACCTTTTTTAAGGAAAATTTTGCACGCACATGCATCTGTAGTTTAGTTTTTTTTTCTTTTTTATTTTACATTTCTCAATCTGAGTTCCAAGTTGTCTTTGGTGTGTGTTTTATTCTATTTAATTGTGGTGAATTTTTCTCTGTTCTTTCATTTCTTTTAATGCACCGATGGGTATCTGGTAGTTTCTCTATTGTTTTGGATAGTTTTTTAGATGTATCCAATTCACATCTAATCCACCAATGCTTTTGATAATAGGCCCAGATTAACTTCTCCACTTTTTCTAGGTATTCTACAACTGAACACATTAGTAGGCTCAATTTGTCGAGCACATACATGTCCAGAATCAGGTAACAAATGAATCAAATTGGTCAAAAAATAGAATCAGACAGGCGGCTTGCCACCATTAGGAAGATCTACCCACTTCCTCTCCTCCAACACTCTTTTCTTTTCAAGTAAACTTTTATCAAACTTTGTTTATCAATCTCTTGATATCCCATTTCGGTATTCATTTCTATATTGTTTATTTTTTGTTTTATCTGTACATGTTGTCGTAATGATAGTTGAAATATCAAGAAGCTTGACTGATCAGCAAACTTAGATTCAAAATGATTTCACTCTTCTTTGATTAGTTTATTGGTGATACAGGTTTCAAGGTTTGATATTATGACGTAGATGTCTCTACAAGATCGATTACCATATGTTGTAGGCAATTTGATATCTCATTTCCGTCTATTCACCAAGCAGAAGGATGGGTTATTTGGATTTTCGAAAGATTACTCTGATTTAAAGCTCTATCATTCTAAAGAGAATTGGTAATGAAATCTTCCTTCGTCCAATTATATATATTGGATCATCCACGTCTGCAAAAGCTGCTATTTTCAATCTTTTTTGTTGCTTTGCTCTTTTTATTTGCCAAAATGAATCGAAGTTGCTTACTCTCTACTATCATTGATTTCATTGCTCTACAAGATTTTGATAGCACATTTTGTAATTTAGTATGTAAATTTATTCTTTTTTTTTTATGACATACTAAAATTTTGCCCTACTAACTTCTATACTCTTCTTTATTTTCTCGCTTATCCAGAAGTAATGAGAGCTTTATGGGCAGAAGGGTATGCAGAGATTAAACAATATTAATTTGGAACAGGTGAGAAGCAACAGAATACTAATATGGTATTTTAAATTTTTTTCTTATTTGATATATGCTATTTTGAGTGAAATTTTTTATCTGACGTTGAGTTAAACATGTGATACTAATGCTTGAAATAAGTTGCTTTGACATTAGTTCTCTGCCAATGTATTGGTTTATCTTTTATTTTTAATAATTAATTTGAGGTCTTACAGTATAACTGAAGAATTGAAAAGGTAATTTGGATTGTCATCAGCCACTATGTAACTTTCTTTATAAGGTGGTCTTATGTTTCTTTTGTACTTTAGGCTAAGCAAATAACTTATCAAATTAATTATCTCAAAAATTCAGGGCATCTCAGAAAATGAATTGATCTTAGTTCTGGTGAGAAGACTGTCTAGGAAAATGACCGGTGAGAAATAGTATGCTAATTTATCTTGGTTTTGGAACTATGGAGTGTCTTAGTAGCTATATGTTTTACCAATCAACAAGATATGGAGTTTCTGATAGCAAAAGCTTTTTGGACCAAGCAGACGGCAGTGGCTTAATTTATGTTAAAACTCATTTATTTCTTCTCTCTCAAATTCCGTGAAGGTGCATCTTTAGTTGTGAAAAAGACCTTAATGAATGTATTTCATGCCTTTATACAAGAGAACCGTAATTTAAATTGACTGCAATAATGCCACTTCTTACGCTCACAGCTCTATACTTCTCTCTTTGATGATCCCATGTTGGCAAAATTTGGTTCCTCAATCTGATTTTTCGAGGAAAGCATATGGACAAGTTTCCATTTGATCGAGATGGGGTAAGGAGGTTGTCTGGTATAGCTTCTTTTCATATCATGGTGGTGGAAATGGATCTTAGCAAAACTTAAGCAAATTTTAATGGCTATTCTCCGAAACACTGGTAAATGTTCGTTCTTTTTTTTTAATTCCAGTTAATTTCTCTTTATTGTTGATATGAATCATGTATTATGAAATACGATTGTAGTGTGTCTAACGTTTGACATTCTGATAGTTTTTACCAGCAACAAAATATATGAAGCAAGTCCAAAAACCTTAAAATGTACCCTAACTACCGAGATTCTGTCTGGCACGATGTGTACGAATATACTTTCCATGACCTTTAAACAAGTGATTCTACCGTATATTTAGAACTTTTAACATATAATTTTTATACCAGTGGCTGAAAGAAAAATAGATGATCATGAAACACCAAGAGACGTGGGGAATTTCTTATGTTTTAATATCACCTATCGGTTGTCGCTGCTTCCTCCATGTCTATCTTTCTATCTCTCTAATTCTGATAATCATGTATTTTCATTCATCAAGCTCTCTTCTAATATCAGATTTATACTCTCTATCTTGCAGATACTGCATGATACTGATAGATTAAGTTATGTTATTCCTTTCCTATCATCACCTCATCAGATGAACGAGTCATTTTTATTATTGTTGAAGTTATATCTTTTTGTGCTTGAAAGCACAAAAGAGATTTTCTTAATTAATCTCCAAGACCAGTAGAAAAGCTCTTTCCCCTGGTTTCACAAGCATATTATTATTATTATGTCAGAAGATTCATCTGTTGCTCTATACAACTTACTAGAATGTGAGATAATTTCAAATTCCTATATTTTGCTCCAGCAAATTTCTTCTTAAAAAGGTGAATTACATCTTACGGGGGGGAGACAGATGAGTAATTGATTAGCTTTGAATTCAGTTTCACGTCACTCGAAATATGGGATATTATTCCTAAAAAGAATATAGTTAGTTAAAGTGTGGGGTGCTTCTGACTTTTTACCATAACTACAACCTCTGTCTCTTTTTTAAATTCAGCACGAGACAGGAAGAGTAGTGTTGTGTCATGAAATAATTAGAATATGAAAATACATTCCAAATACTAATAAAATGTTGCTCAATCATGAGCTCTTGGCTTTAGCAGTACTTTACATGACCAGCTAAACTAAATTAGAAAACTTGCAGTAACTTTTCTAGCAAGAGGATCGAAGGCGTGGTTACAAAGTGACCTGCGTGACTTATAATCTATTTTATCACTTGAGAAGGAGATTAATATTTTAATATGCTAGAGCCTAGATGTTAAAAATCTGTCATAGTCCAGCGAAAGTGGATAAGATCTTTTCTTATATTCTTCTTCTTACAATTTTCTTTATTTATAGTCTACCAACAATTTTAATCTTGAATTTAATTATATAATTTGTTGACGGGACATTTGATTATCCGTGTGATTTTCTCTGTGTGGTTTGGGGGATATGGAGTAAGTATGGTAGAAAATAGTTGTTGTGCTGATCCGTTCAACTTTTCAATTCCCCTTGTTAATAAGCGACAGTTTGAGGAGCTTGGGGTCGTCTGGGGGTATTTTGGGAAAACTGCAAATATTTTGGCAAAAGTTACGCGCTAACCCTACTTTGGTTTTGCCACGTTCCTTACACCGCTCAAACGGACAACATCTATACTCTACTTCACACTGTTCTTCCTCAAAATTGTTAGTGCTCAAGTCCTCTTCCAATTTCCTCTATCTCTTTCAATCTTCTCTCTTCCTGGACAATTTATTCGCGTTGGTCGTACAGTTATAAGGTGAATTTTGGTTTCTTATTTTCTTGATTTTTTGAATAGCGGTTGCATAGAATTGTTTAAATTGAGTAAATTGTTCGTCGATCACTCTCTGTTCCTTTGTCCAGAAAATTCTAGGACGAATATCTAATTACAAAAGAAAGTGATTATAAATTACCAATTGACTTCTCAACCCTTTGAAATAGACATTATGGGGTGCAGACGTTCACCACATGATATTGAAAATAAAATTGGTATGCTACAACATCGATCCAAACGCTATAGTTTGACACTAAAAAATTAAAATCAAAATTCTTGTTTCGACAAGGTTAGACATTAGAATCTGATTCAAGAACACAAGGGATCGACTTGAAAAGGGAGGGATCGAGCATGATTTTCAGATAATACGCTATTGATACTAATCTTTCTACTGCATGATTTTCAAAAGGTTTGCATTATTTGAAAATTTCATTATTTTTAAAAGGTTTATTAGTTGGAGTTCATAATGATTTTCTGAAGAGATAAGTTTGATTAAACTTATTTGTTTCTACTAAATAGTCCAAAATTACATATGTACAATATGTTCCTCAAGGGGACCAATTAGCTTAGGTTTTCCGTTTTGCAATTAGGGACTGATAAGACAGGTGGGTGAGGGCTTGCTAGAGCAAAGGCATTTATGAGAGTTATGAATGCAGTTGCATTAAATTCTCAACTGAAGCCGCTTTGCCTCACTAGGATTATAGGTTCATGATCTTTAAGCTATAAATAAGTTAGTTGATTGTCAATGTTAATGCATTGTTTGTTCTTTACTTGCAATTTTATAGTAAAAAAGAACTATAACCAGTAATCGATATTGCAAATTATGTTATTGTGTTTGATGTCGTTGTATTAGTACTCTGCTGTATTTTTGTTCTGGTAACCGAAAAGAATAAAGTGCCTAATCATATTTATATGGTTCTTTGTAGAAATAGTTCATATTAGCAAAGAGAATTGTAATATGAAGCGATAACTGTAGAATTATAGTTGGATTTAATAGTTAGTATCGTAAAACTGATTAATTGATAATATTTTCCATTCCTGTTTTCTATTTTATTCTCAACATCCCCCTGCCAAAAAGTTTTTTGTGTTCTGCTTCTGGCTGCAATGAAAGAGCACCGATCTATATTTAGCATATAAATTTCACAAAGTAATGTTATTGTCTTACAATTTGATGATCTTTAAGCTATAACTAAGTTTAAGTCATTGTCAACTTTCCAAAGTGATTTACTATGGTGTACACTCATTAGATTCGGTAAGAATCACTTAAGTTTTATTACTCTTACTGTAATTTATTACTGGAAATAATTTAATCCTTTCAATAGACTTGGCTAAGGAAAAAGCACAGATCTGTATTTAGTGTATAAATTTCATAAAATAATGTCATTGTCTTATAGTTGATAATTGACAATCTTTAAGCTATAAATACTAGGTGATTGTCAAAATTAATGCATTAGTTGCTCTTTACTTACATTTTATCCTACAATCTGTGTATTTGCTGTCATTGTATGAGTTCTCTGCTGCATTCTTATTTTGGTAGCTATAAAGAATAGAGTACCTAATGATGTTTTGTTGAAACAAAGGAGAACTTTGATGCAGCTAAAGGGCTTGACAATATGCTTAACAACTGAACATTTTCCCCGCTCAGCTGAAGTTATTTCTTCAGTGGCTTTGCAGTATCAAATCTTCAATTGCTAATAAAAAGTTGTACTTATCTTTGTGGTTCAGATTTTCTAACAGAAAAAAAAGCTAGAACAAGATCAAGATCACTAGCACTGATCCAAACTCCTTGACATTAGTTTCATATAAAACTGATCAATACTACCATGGTGGTTGCAAAACTTTCTTACGTTTGTCCAATAGCATGCTCAATAAAACACTAATGTTCTTTATTGACATGTTGATGTTGATAATATGCAGGTTGTTGACATAACCTTTATTAAGAAAAAAATCATGTTCTAGACCAAGTAAGTCAACATGTGCTTCTACTGCTACATATGGTGACGGTGAGTATCTTGCTTGCTCTCTTTCTGGCATTTCACTTTTTTGCTCAAAATGAACTCAATTTTAATTTGCCGATAACTGTTTTCTGAAAATAGGTTGACATCCTCCTATGAACATTGATATTTTCTACCTTATAAAAAAAAATGAATATTGATCTTTCCCTGAGCAATGCGCTACGTCCTACAATGTTGAAGACCCGATTTGCTGACACCATCATCAAAGTGAAACAAAAATCTCTTTCACTTGATGAGTGTATTTCGTATCACATAGTTGAATCAGCATGATAAGTCTAATCTGCAGTCTGAAATAGCCTATCTCTTATCCAACAATATTCTTTCGTATTCGACAGTAATAGCTTTACTGCAGATTTTCCTAATCGCCTGTGTTGTTTTCTTTTGTCCTGCTTTAACTCAAGCTTGGTCTCTTTCGTCCGTAGTATTATATTCTTGCGTCAGCATCATACTAATTGAGTTTGTTCATCCTTACGTCATAGGTGTCTTGTTATACTAAATGGCAATTTGAAGAATCTGTTTATTGAAGCACATATTGATTTTGACATTATATTAGAAGTAATAGTTTAATAATCGCATAGAAAAACTGATAACTAGATTTCTTTTTATTTCTAGGTAGGTTGAAGATTGCACTGGACATACTACTTTTCTTTCCTTTTCTTGTTCTTTGTACTGGAATTTCTGCTACTTCTTTCTTCTGTTGAAGTGTATTCCGTTCGGTAAATAGACGGTTTTACAGTGAGTGTAGCATTAAAGTTGTAGGTTAATGGACTTTCATATGAGAAAAAGTCCAATAGTCCATTCTTTCTAATGTTCTGCATGTTTATTGACTTCAGTTAGTCTGCTATAAAAAGGTATACCACAAATGTGAAGTTCTATAATTAGGAATTCAACAAACACGTTTTGTAGAGAAAAAGTGATCATTTGTCACCAACCATTTGCTATTATATTCTGGTAGTAATAACGTTATTGCAGATCTATGGATGTTCCTCTAAGATAACCCTAATAACATTATTGCATTTCTATAGATGTTTCTTTAAGACCACCTTTCATTTCGTTTCACTGTGAGAAACTTTATTTCTCATGATTTGTTATTATTTTATTCATTTCATTTGATAGGGTAATCTTTATGGCCAAGATATTACCAGTTTAAGGTATGAAAAAAATCCCTTTAGAAATGCAAGGGAGTTAGACTTTACACAATAGACCAACTGTACTTCAGCTCTGCCCTTGATCCTATACATAATGGGAGCTTAATGTACCAGTTCGGTATTTATTGTTCTACTCTATAAACTGCAAACATGATAGGATTATATTTACAATCTTATAGAAGTTTGTCGCCTTCTGCTTTCCCTCATCGAAATCATAGTTTTCCCTGAAATATCAGGTGTTGCAAATATGATGGAAGTTAAAAGCACAATTGTACCTCAGAGTGGTATCTCAGCTTGAAAAATCTACAGAGTATTATATCTGGACTGGGATCACAGAGTTTATACGTTTATGGCAAAAGGCCTTTCCAATTGTACGATTGCTTAACAAATGCAATCCTTGCATCAAGCACTGACAACTATCCTGAAGAAAACATTCTGAATACATTAGAACCAAGTGACTGAGTTAGCTGCTGGGCTTCATACTGGATAAGTGGAGGAGAAATATCAAAGTTTGTGCTTGATTTCATAATTCATGTGCAACCATTTCAAGGTTTCACCTCAAGTTCTATTTTCGGTAATGTTATGGATTTGTTCATTCGGCTTGATTTTTTTCTCATTAACCAGAAATATTATAATTTTGTAAAAACATATTTCCAGTTTGGTTTTCCTCTTTATTCAACAAAAGCTGTGAGATTCAGAGTCGGACATCCTAATGTTAAATTTCCATGTTGCATAATTGCCTTTAACTCTGGCTCTAAATCTGGCAAAAACATTAATATTGCTTCTAAGATAAATTCACAGGTTATTTGGTGATTTTGTCTATTTTTTCTTTATTTACTAGCTTAACAGCTCCAATTTTGCTAGAATCTGATTAATTCAGTGGAGTTTCTCATGTGAAGGTGTGTGCATTTATATTGGGACTCTATGTTTTCTATCTATAGTTTTAGTTGAATAGGCAAAGAACCCAAAATATCCATATAAATACATATTGCTTATAGCCTCACACATTTAACTCTATTCTACAAAAAAAGGATGGTGGACCTGTTTTAAGTAGCCCTCAAAGGCATAAATCTATCGCTAAAAATAATATTAACAACAATATTAAATAGCCGTTGGGCCTGGGCTTAGTCCGGGCTAACCCTCACTAGTTGAAAAATAGAGCAAGGAAAATACAAATCAAATGGCCAATAATTACCCTTTCACCATACACTTCTGTTCAACCACGCGACCGGAAACCAGTGACAGCCGATACCGAAGCAGTGCAGCGATAACTACATATTTCAATTGCAGGTAAGCCAAGTCCTTCCCTAAGCAAGTTATAGGTCCTCCGTTGAACTCCACAAACTTATACCCATCCTTTAGCGGTTCGAACCGGTCCCCTCCGATCTATAGCCATCTCTCCGGCTTAAACTCCAAGCAATCCTCCCCCCAAATATTCTTCTTTTCCCCCACATAGCAAATAGAATAATTACGTAACCGTTGAACCAGCAGGAACGTAAGCGCCATCAGGTAGAACTTCATTGGAAACAACATATTTGAAATCCTCTGGTACTAATACAAACGTATGGTTTCACCCAATGCTTCTTTCACATAAAGGAGTCTATCAGCTTCATCAAAAACCAATGGCTCTTCGATTCATCATCCTCTCCGCGGGTTTCCATTAAAACAATTGACATTTCATTAATGACCTTCTTTTCTACGCATGGATTGTTCATGACTAGCCAGAAGAACGAACTTAATGCCACCCTACCGGCAAGAACAAAATTAAGAGCAATACGTTTGAGGACATAATTTGGGAAAAGGTTGTCCTCCACATCTTTCTTCTTCATGAAACGTAAGAGATTTTCCTTACCCTAAATTCGGGGAGGCGAGACCGCACCTGGTGTCTTACTTGACGAGCGTACCAACTAAACTTGTGTTATAAGACTTTTTTTTGAATATATATGACTTAATTAGGCAGACAAAGCCAATTGAATACCGTTATGTAATATCTTAGGCCAGCAAGGCTATAAAAAATCTAAGGAATGGACAACTAAAGATCTAATAGTAATAGGGACATCGAATTTGTGTACTTCTTAGCAACAACAGAAGATCGTTGAAATTTGTGCGATAGAAATTGCTCCACGCCGATTCTATTTCACTTTGGAAATAAATTTTTTGATTCCACAAACTAAGTGTCCTCTGTGTATTTCTTGTCATGAGAAGAAAGGAGATGAGTTCTCTGTGTTTTTCTTGTATCTTTGAAGAGTATGTATTGTTCCCTTTTATTTGGAGTTACGAAAGAAAGCAGTTATGAAGAAAAATGTTCCCACCCAAAAAATAACCATGTAGAATATGCTCCCACAAATTCAACATGTGGAGTAACTTCTCATAAGAGGTTATGTAATCTTATCTTATTCATAAATGGGTCGGGTCAGCCCACATGGAGCGACCTGCGACCCAAATTGAAAATAAATCGAACATCTCCCACTTTGCTCATGGTGGGCTGTACTCAAACCAATATCATGCCAATAACACACGTTATTCATATAGACAAATAGTTCGTGCGACCTGCGGGCATCAAGAGCTATAAAATATTTTCAAACCTATTAAGGTTATTATAAAGCTCTATGTAGAAATCAGGTCACATTCGAAAAGGATTCACTACTAACATAAGGATCTTATTACTCTCTATACCCTAGACATTACCCGCTACTCCAGTGTCACACCTCCTTTTTCTACCCGAGGGGGTATAAGGGAGTTTTTTTCAATTTAAGTGACAATTGAAAACGAGATTATTTTATTTAAAATTCAGAGTCACCATTTAGAATAATTAATGGTGTCCCAAGTCACCGGTTTATTTTAAAATCCCAAATCGAGGATATTGACTCTATTTTTACGGTCTGCGAATGGTAGCCTTATGCGATGCAGAGAATGCAGATGGAGGTAGAGCTTAACCTCGGAAGGCAGAATGGTAGCCTTATGCAATGCAGAGAATGCAGATGGAGATAGAGCTTAGTCTCGGAAGGCAGAATGGTAGCCTTATGCAATGTAGAGAATGCAGATGGAGACAGAGCTTAGTCTCGGAAGGCAGAATGGTAGCCTTATGCAATGCAGAGAATGTAGATGGAGGTAGAGCTTAACCTTGGAAGGCAGAATGGTAGCCTTATGCAATGTAGAGAATACAGATGGAGGTAGAGCTTAACCTCGGAAGACAGATGATCTGCATTGCGGTATTTAAACACATAGTACGGAATGTAAAACGTGTCCTAATCTGGAACCTCTTTGTGCCCGAGGTAGGCTTAGGGACAAATTGTTTTGGAGAACTTAGAATGCTAAATGCCTCATTTTATTGATAGAAAATTAGACGAATCCCAAATTGACACTAAATAAACAGGAAAATAAAAGTCACTAATGGTCATTGGTCTTATTACATTTTATAAAGCGAAAAGGTAAACTCCTATCTACTTGGTCCCTGAAGGAGCTTCCCCAGATTTGGCATCCTTGGCTCTGTCGAATAGCTTTCCCAACTCGTGGAGTCCCAACAATAGGTATGCTCTAGCTAGATGTCCGCATTCGGTCCCTTCAGCATTTTGACAATCTTCGACCCTCTTGAGAAAATTTCTCTCCAATTCCGCTATGCCTCGCTCCAAGTATCCCAGCCGCTTGTTGGCAATGACAACCATGTCCTTCCATTCCTCAATCAGCTTCTGGTTGGACTCTTATATTTCGTGATATTTGCTTTCATACTCACGGATCCTTTTGCGCAGCTGGTTGTACTTGACCTGCTCCTCGGTCTTTTCATCTATAATCCTGTGACCTCGAACAAACTCTGGCTAGCCCAAACCATCATGATTATCTTCCAACCAACCTGAGTAGAAAGGAGAGCAACCAGCATGATACCTGTCTGGTTCGATGGTATCTCTCCCCATTATGATCTTGCAATGCCACATATACTGGGCACTTGTAAAGACTATCATCATTGTGGAAGTCAGCTCGTAAATGACTCATCTTGTCGACCCTGGGTATAACTTGCTTTCTAGTAGCTTGCCTCATAACTCGAAGAGGGACGTAAGAGTATGTTCCTCTCAGACCAATCAGTGTCAGGAAAGATGCATCTCTGGATAGGGCTATGAACTCCTCGGTCGGAAACCACTCGAACATCCATTGAACCTGTTCTTCAGTCAGATTGTCAAATAACTCAACCCATCCTTTGGCTTTCTCAGGCTGAGCGAACATATCGGGGATGTAATTCATTCGCTTTGGATGATGGAAAGCGATGTGATCATCCGAGTCCCTTCGTTGAATCTCTTGTCGGTATTCGCCCTTTTGGAGATGTTCCATGAGTCAGAGTTGGAGTAATGAATTGCAGCCTTCGAAGTATTTTGCTCCTCGTTGACACTTCTCCAAGGCTTGATATATGTCTGCAATGATCATGGGCATGATGTTGAATGGCTGCCCACCAATCCCATCCATTAGGGTCTTAGTTACCGTAGCCAGCCTAGTATGGATTCTCCCTTTATTCATCAGAAACACGATTAGCTCTAGGAAACAAAACATGAAGACAAAAATCCTTCAATGGATGTGCCCTAAGGATATGATGGCAAACTCGTCAAGGTAGGTACGGTAGGATTTGTTGTGACCGTACCTTTCATACAAATAGTCAAAAGGAATGTAAGATTCCTTCACGCATGTCAATTCTGGATTCTTCTTCAAACCCATCGTTTTTAGAAAACCCCTACCTTTGCGGTTCTCAAGCATTAGTAGACCCGGAGTTTCCCACACTAGACCGGCCAGTCCTCCTATCTCCTCTAAAAAGGGTGTCATTTTATTGTCCCCAAAGTGGAACACAGTCCTTTCACAATCCCAAAACAGTGTGGCAGCTTCTATGATCTTGTTGTTAGGTTGGATCTCCAAAAGGGAAGGCAGGTTTCCCAGATATTTTCGGATGAGAGTTTGGTCACTAGAGTGTAGATCTTTCCACCAGCTTAGCAGTCTTGGGTGGATGTTGGTGGTCATGCCGAATCTAGGGACTTCGTGCCTCATATTTCTGCAAGACAAATAAGGTTAAGCCCTTACCCCCACCAGACTCGACTATTTAATACCAAAAATTAGTATGAAGCATTTAGTTCTCCAAATAAATGCACAGAACGTGGTGATGTCCGTTTGGGTTCAGGGAAACCCAGTGGACTTTGGACAAGGCTATCTTAAAGGATCATTATGTGGACAACATAACTGACCCGGCTAGGTTTGACCATGATGCATGCACAATTTTAACTAGAGTAAAGTTTCTATGGGGTTTTAGACTGGTACCCTTGAGCGGACAACTCAAGAGGGAAGGCACGGAACTGTCGACTGCACCGCTGATCGACTAGTTTTACCGCAAATATGCCCTTCCTAATTTAGGGGATAATGATATAGGAAAAGTGGGACCACTCATTAAAAGCGTTGCTATGGTATTTGTTTGGCACGAGTGGAATATGATGTTGAACATGATTATGCAATAATTAAAACATGTTGGCATGTATTTGCACGTTAAGAAAGTGATAAATACAGTAGTTTCATAATTTAAAGCAGTAATAAAGGAAGGAAACAAAGAAGATAAGTCAGTTTTGCTTTTGAAAAGAAATTAAATGATTAAAGGAATTAAACAAGTAATTACACATGAAGGGGAGGTACAAATTCACAAGAACAATCTGAAGTGGTAAAAGCCCAAGTATCCCCAGCA